CATAATCAATCATCAATGATAATCAGGTGTGTCTAATCTTCTAACAACACAGGTGCAAACGGAGTTAAGACGTGCTATTTTTGGGCATTAAATAATGGCGCAAACACCAGTAAACAGACTACGGCAAACCTTAGCAAATCATGTTGCGTGATTCATTTTAATACTCTCCTCCCATAAATTTTGCATCTGAAAGGGAAACTCCTACAAATGCATATGCAATAAGATCAGCCACAAAAATAACTGTCCACACCTTTTCACCACCAATTTTTCACAGTCTTTAGTAAATAGTAACATCTGAAGTGGGTTTGTCCTCTTGACTCATGAATTAGTTTTGCCACATAAACTTATGCTCAAGACTGAAATCCTAGAATCCTAGTAATTCAGCGTCTTTATGTCATCGCAAGCTGGTTCAACTTCTGATGTTGGTTGGTTGCTATTTTAAAACTATGCCAGGTTCCTTGGCTATTTTCATGCAAGTAACAAGTTAAATACCAAAAGAGCAATTTAAAACCCCATATAAGATTTGCTTTAGAAAAAACACTAAAATGAATTCAGGGTTGACTATTAAAAATTTATTTGAATGTATGTATATGAATGTTCTTTGAATGAATATATGATCTGATCCCAGCAATTATTGAAAACAAAGCTGTGAATTTTCCCCACAGAAAGATTAATTTCATACAGTTTGTTATAGGGTCCTATAAGGTCATGGGTTTGATTTCCAGCGAATGCAGGAACTGATTAAATCTATACCTTGAATTCAATGCAAGTCACTTTGAATAAACACCAGAGATGCACCGATACTAAACTTCTATCGATACTGATAGTTTGGCTTTAATGGAAAAAAATAATAATCTCTCCCAACTAATGCTGCAAACTACACAAAGAACTCTCTTATGATCATACATTTTAGTAAGTTGTACTGTGTCTTTCTACATACCTTCTGATGTTCATGCATGTTTATTTCGCACTGTAACTTGTTTTAGGGTGCTTTCACACTAGCACTTTTGGTGCGCACCCGGGTTCGATTGACGTCAGAGTTCGGTTCGTTTGGATGATGTGAACGCTGTCTTCCGAACTCAGGTGCGCACCCGTGAACCGTACCCGAGTCCGCTTAAAAAGGGTGGTCTGTGGTACGGTTCGCTGCTGATGTGAACGCAATCGTACCAAATCACGGAAGTGAACCGCTATTGATGACGTATTATTTGATTGTTTGTGTGTGTGTTTCACTCACTTTCCTGACGAGCTGCAAACAGAGAGCTGTATATCTCATTTCTATTCGCCTTCAGCGTTCTTTAGAGCATTTGCAGTACACTCGTAAGACAGACGTAAGTGTCGTTATGTACCGAAGCTTTGTAAACAAAACGAACAGTTCAAAAACATAAATATATAAAAGTTCAGAGAGCAATGTTATGCATTTGCCGCCTTCTCCTGCGCCGTCGTTACTAAGCAACGGGGTAAACAGCTGCTGGCTTGATGACGCAAACGAACTGCGGTTCGGACCCAAATAAAATAATATGAACGCAGTCCAGCGGGGGCAGGGGGACGGGGGAGCAATCGAACTCGTGTTCGGACCAGGCAAGCGAACCAAGTGTGAAAGCACCCTTAAAGTGGAAGAGCGTTGTGCTCCCAACTGTTGCATCCCAGAATTTAAGAGCATCAAAACAGCATTTATTGTTTGAATTTTGTGATAAACTGTACAGGATTTTAAAGTGGAAACCACAAACCTCCTTGCAATTACTGGATGGGAGGCGCATTACAAATAATGTTTGGTGAAGGGAAAAACTGTGGACTTGGCAACCCTGGCTTAAGCTACAGGTGATTCATAAAGTCAAACAGAGCCTGCGATAACCTGCGCTATTTGGTTTTCTTTTTTAAGTTTTAAAGTGAGACTGCATTCATGAGTTATTATTGCATTCACTTCAACAGCCCTAAATTCTACACAGGAGACATTTACACACAAGATGCTGTCTGACACTTTTTTTTTCACCCCCTTTTGATCGTGCCCTGATCATTGGCTGCTTTAAAGGGGTCATATGATGCTGCTAAAAAGAACATTATTTTGTGTATTTACTTTACTTTACTTTTACTTTTAGTCATTTAGCAGACGCTTTTATCCAAAGCGACTTACAAATAAGAAAAAGTAATTAAAACTAAAAGCTAAAACTCTATAAATACTATATATATATATATATATATATATATCAATAAAGTTACGCCTTCTTTCTTTGCGTGAACATTTGGGCGGCGTTATGCAAATCTTCCCACATCGTGACGTAGACATGTGGGGGCTTGTTAGAACGAGCCGTTTTAAGTAGGTGTGGCTGACTCTTAACTTTTATAAAGAATATCTCTTTGGATTTGAGACTTTAGTCTTTGCAACTTTACAGATCTTCTTTATGCACCAAGAGTTTGTAACACTCCAAAGAGAAAGGAAAAATTTAAATCGCATCATATGACCCCTTTAAAGCAATCGGCCAATAAACAATAGTGCATATAATTGCTTTTATCTGCCGACACCGATGATTGGCCGCATCTCTAATAAAATCATCTCCCAAATGCATACATGTAAAATAAAGGGCAAAATAAAGTGGCTGGAGTAGCTGAAAACAGTGACAAAAATACCAACAGGCTGTCCATTACCAGTTAGTCACCAAATCAAGACAGTTCAATCAGAGGAAAACTGAAGCTGGGGCAACCACTGGACCTAGAAACCACACAGTTCAAAACTAAACATAATAAACCAAGAGAAAACTGAAGATACTCCAGGAAATATGAGTCAACTACTGAATAAAAGAAAACACTAGATGAAGGAAAAACACATTTACTCAATTCCTTAAAAATACTAACAAAGAACAGGACTAACAAGTTAGTTTGACTTCTGACATGCAACAAACACATGAGAGACAGAAGTACTGGATAGTGAAGTTAAAGCGCTGTTTGTCTCCCATCAGCCAACTGGGGGCTGTAAGGATTTTACACCACAGAGCGGAAAATATGACGAGCAGCTCAGAATCCAGAGTAAAGGAGGAACACACATGAAGCTGAAGGCCTGCTGTGACTGACTAAACTAAACCCTTAACAACCAAAACCAAACAACTGATTCAAAATGCACAGCAACAATGCATGAGTAATCATTATCTCACCCATGGACCAAGGATTGCAAAAAAAAAAAAAAAAAAAAAAAAAACCTTTATTCGAATTGTTTTCATTTTAAAATGATTTATTTACTGAAGACGAAGATCTGATAGACTCCTCAACTACTTCTCTAAAGAGTTATTGGAAATACCACATAAATGTCACATTAAGTCGAGCAGCTAAATTTATGCTCATATAATTTCTGCAATATCATAACACACTAATGTTCTGCAGTGAGTGACACACTATACTTATGTGGTATAGCAGGATAAACTCAACACATCTGAGAGGAATATAAAAGCTTAACACAGGCAGGAATGGTACATAAATACAAGGGCTGTCCATTTGGTGCGGTGATTCAGCAGTAAGTGAGAATTATTACCAAGAACCCAATGGACAGCCATGATTCAAGAAGCCTGAAGTGGACTTCATTCCATTTCTATTTAGACCAGAGTTCCTGAACAATCCCCTCATAAACCCTAAATCAGACAAGCAGCACGAGGAGCCGTGTGAAAGAATGAAAAAGCCAACTCAAGCAGTTTTAATCAAACTGTAATAATAGACTTCCTTTCTATATACATGCAAACTTGATTTTATCATGCCTTACATCCTTGCTTTACAATGTAATGTAAACAAATATGAAATATGTAGGGTATCAGACCGAATCAGACAATTTAAGATTTGATAAAGAACAGTTGAAACACGAGGAGCCGAATTCCACAGAGGCCCAAGACACAGGATGTTCGTAAATCAGATCCTGGTGCCACAAGCCTGAACCAACTAGCAGCTTTGAGTAGCTCACAGCATTTAAACAAAAGAACACTTATTGACAATTCCAAGGGGATTGTCAATTTTTGGGGGCAAGTAATCAAGATTAATGGTCAAAAGAGATGCACA